ATACATGGAGCGAAGAGTGCCAAAGAGCTTTCGAACACTTACAAATGGCTCTGATCAGCGCACCGATTTTAAGCTACCCTAGACAGGCAGGAAAATTTGTGTTGGACACCGATGCAAGCAACAGTGCAATAGGAGCTGTTCTATCCCAAATCCAAGATGGGCAGGAGAAAGTCATCGCTTACTTTAGCAAAGTCTTGTCGAAACCAGAAAGAAACTATTGCGTTACCAGAAGAGAATTGCTAGGCGTAGTAAAGGCTTGCGAGCATTTTCATAAATACTTGTATGGCAGAAAGTTTCTTCTTCGCACGGATCACGCTGCTCTAAAATGGCTCCTACAATTCCGTAATCCAGAGGGCCAGATGGCAAGATGGTTAGAACGATTACAAGAATATGATTACGAGATCGAACACAGGGCTGGAAGAGTTCATTTAAATGCTGATGCGCTTTCGAGAAGGCCGTGTAGTGAACATTGTAATCACTGTCTTAAATTAGAAGAAAGACTTTGCCCCGTGAGACGAACCACCGTCATTAATGATCAATGGCAGCCTCAACAGCTACAAGACGCTCAAGCAGATGATCCATGTATAAAAAGAGTATTGGATTGGATGCGTCGAAGTGAAAGGCCCTCTTGGCAAGACATTAGTGCATGTAGTCCTGAAGTCAAGTGTTACTGGAGCCAATGGAATTGCCTAGTGTTAAAAGATGATCTTCTTTATAGAACCTTCGAGAACGATGATGGTACAGAATCTAAGCTTCAGTTGATTGTACCTAAAAGTAAAGTGTCAGAAGTATTGCGTCAGTTACATGACGGTGCATCAGGTGGACACTTTGGTATTACGAAGACTCTGCAAAAGGTTCGAGAACGGTTCTATTGGGTGAACTGTAAAGATGATGTAAGAAGATGGTGCCGAAAATGTGAACTGTGTGCAACCAGTAATGGTCCAGTTGGTAAAAAGAGGGCACCCATGAAACAGTACAATGTTGGTAGTCCTATGGAACGAGTAGCAATCGATATTGCAGGTCCACTTCCAGAGACAAATGATGGAAATAAATATATCCTGGTAGCCATGGATTATTTTACGAAATGGACTGAGGCCTATGCGCTACCAAATCAAGAAGCTGCTACCGTTGCAGAGGTACTTGTTAAAGAATTTTTTAGCCGATTTGGTGTTCCCTTGGAGATCCACTCCGACCAAGGGCGAAACTTCGAGTCAAACCTTTTCCAAAACGTTTGTAAATTGATTGGTGTCAATAAAACCAGAACGACACCCCTGCATCCTCAATCAGATGGAATGGTCGAGAGGATGAACCGAACGATGGGTAAACACCTGTCCAAAGTTGTATCAAAACATCAAAGAGATTGGGATCAGCACATTCATTTATTCTTAATGGCATACCGCTCGGCCGTGAATGAAACTACAGGCCAGACTCCAACCTGCCTGATGTTAGGTCGTGAAGTTCGTTTGCCCTGCGACCTAGAGTTTGGCTGCAGACCTTCCGAAGAACATGTTGCAAGCGAAGATTATGTCGATCGTCTGAAGTTAAGAATGAACAGCATTCATGAACTTGCCCGACACCACATCCAGTTAGCCAGTGACAGAATGAAAGATCAATACGATTCTCGATGCAAGAATGAAAGCTATGAAGTAGGTGATCTTGTTTGGCTTTATAATCCACAACGTCGTCGTGGCTTGTCTCCTAAACTGCAAAGACAATGGGAGGGTCCGTATGAAATTAAAAAGAGAATAAATGACGTAATATACCGAATTAAGAAGTTGCCGAAAGGCAAACCAAAAGTAGTTCACATAAATCGTCTTGCCCCTTATGCTGGCTCAAATGAAACCGAAGAAGTCCGAACCCTTCAACATGAGATCAAAGATAAACGGCGACCAAGCTTTAAGGAGTTTATGTCAAATTACGCAGAGAGAAAGAATGCTAGATTCGGCGTGACGACAGAAGTTCAGCAGGATCTTTTTAGTGTTCCGCATAACGTCACTCTAGCCCACTGTGTTGCCCAAGATCTTGAGATGACTAAAGGAATCTCATCCGTATTTTATAAGAAGTTCGGTCGTTTGGACGAGTTAAAAAACCAGCAGCCTAAAGTTGGAAGAGTACTGAGATTAGAAGATGGTTCTCGATCTTTGCTGTATATGGTGACCAGGAAGTCGTATACAGACAGGGCAACCTACGAGGATATATGGTGTGCTCTAACTAATTTGAAGAAAATCGTCTGCAATTACGACATTAAGAATTTGGCCTTACTCAAGATAGGCCATGCACTAGATAATCTGGATTGGAAGATTGTCAGAAGCATGCTAGAAGTGATCTTCCGAGAAACCGGTGTAAGAATTACTGTGTGTTGCATTAATCCGAAGAGATCGTGTCCTTCAAAGACAGTAGACTGTTATTTCTTTCTGAGGGGTTCATGCAGAGCTGGAGAGTTCTGTAGATTCCGCCATCCTGGGCCTATATATAGAGTTGCTGATCGGGACGCTCAGATCTAAGAGGGGAGCAGTGTTACGAATATGCTTTCGGCATGGCCATTTAACCGATGCATCTCGAAGGATCGAGAAATTACCGGTCATATATCAAGCGCTGTAAAATTCCACTCGTCGTCAGATAACGAATTAGAGATGGGACTAATCCTGAATATTCTCGAACATAGTAACTTTGGTATATATAGGTAACGAAATTAGGAGTTAAGTTTAGTTGATAAGAGAATACCGAACTGTAAAGTTATAAATAAATATATTTATATAAATTCGAACCGCTCGTTTTATTTAAAACCGGTAAATATTAAAAAGTAGAGGCGATAGAATACATCTTTGGCTCACTCCACGTTATGGCATCTATAAGTTTGTCATGGTTTACTCGGTCAAAGGCCTTTTCGAAGTCGATAAAACACATATATACTGGTTATTCTATATCCCTACATCTTTGAACCATGACCTGCCAACTGAAGAGTGCTTCTCTGGTTCCAAGGTTGTTTCTGAAACCAAATTGTGTTTCACCTAGTTGTACTTCTATTTTGTTGTAAATTCTCGAGTGCAGTATTCTTAGGAAAATTTTTAGTACATGATAGTGCGATGATCGCTACACTGTTTGGCATTTTTTTTTTTTTTTTTCGGTATCATTACAAATGTTGACAGTAGCCAGTCTGTTGGTATATGTCCTGTTTCGTATATTTTATTAAAAAGGCTTAGAAGAGAATGTTTGCCCTTATCGTCGAGCAGTTTGATTATTTCGCTTGGAATTTCATCTGGACCGGTTGCTTTGCTATTCTTTGATAGCTTTATAGCTCTTTCCAGTTCATAGAGTGTTATGTTTGGACCAGTCGATATATTTTTGATTTGAATTTCTGTTCTATCGTCATCAAACAGCTCCTTAATATATTCTTTCCACCTCTCTAATCTGTCTTGTTCATTGACTATATTTCCTTGTTTATCAAGTAAACTACTTGCAGTTGATTTATATGTTCCAGTTATTTCTTTTACCTTTTTGTACATATTAAACATTAGAGTTGACATGGAATGCACAAATTGGGGACTGTCGATAAATATCGATAAAACTAAATACATGGTGACCAGTAAACTGGATATCGGCGCAACCCAACTGATATTAAACCAACAACCGCTGCAGAGAGTTCAGAGATTCAAATACCTTGGATGTTGGATTACCCAAAATATATATCCATCCTTCGAAATTCGATATAGAATTGAACAGGCAAGAAACTCATTTCAAAAATTCAAGCCTCTATTATCCAATAAGTCATTAAATTTGGAAATCCGTGAAAAAATTACAAGATGTTACGTGTGGTCTGTACTTTTGTATGGATGTGAAACTTGGACTTTAAACGCCGATATCATGAATAAAATCGAGGCGTTTGAGATGTGGTTGTATCGAAGGATACTAAAAATTCCATGGACTAGCAGAACCAGAAACGAAGAAGTTCTTCGAAGAATGGGACATCAACGAACTCTATTAAATATTATTAAGAGGCGTAAACTAGAATATCTTGGACATATAATCAGAGGACCAAGATATGAGTTCCTTCGGCTAATTCTCAACGGTAAAATCGAAGGAAGCTTTGACAGCGGACCAATTGCTACACCTAGCGCAAGACCGAGATCAGTATAATAATATTATAAGCATGGTAGTCGCCGACGTTCCGAAGGGATATGGCACTCTAAGAAGAAGAAGACATATTAAACGTGTCATTATTTTTCTGCAGTTCTTCTATTTCAAGACATTTGTTGCTGTACCATTTTTCCTTTTTCCGTTTTTATTTTTCTGTTTTCGCCTGCTTTCCATCAGTCCCAATATTTCATCAGACATCCATTGTTGTTTGCGCATATTAATAGTTTTATACTTTTTAGTTGTTTCTTGCATAATGCTTTTGACATGATTCCAGTGGTCTTCGACGTTATGTCTTTCTTTCGATTTTTCAAACTTCTTTTTTATCTCTTGTCTGATTAATAAATTATGATCTGAGGGGACATCGGCTCCAGGTAGTGTTTAAGTTATTTTGATTGAATTTCGGTATATTGCAATTAGACAATTAAATCCTAGATATATCTTTATTTGTCGTCTTCATGCTATAAAAGGTTCGGGTACAATAGACATGGGTGTCCGTGTCCACACTTAATGTTACTGAAAAAGACAGTGCTTTTCAAGTCAGGTGATTGATGTTGAATTGAAGAATATCAGCAGAACATTTTTATTTCGAACATATTAAAGTGAAAAGTGAACTAACTTCTTATCGCTCAGTATGAAATATCGATACGCGTGCAGTTTCCTTGCGGTATCGAATAATATACACACATATTTATTGTTATAAGTTATAAATTAACTTACGTTAATTTATTCATTTAAAAAATGTTTTTCACGTTTTTCCTTCATAAAGATACAATTTGCATCCCTCAAAAGCCCCCAATTGGCATAAACCAACAAACAACCTAAAATTAAATCCACCTGAAACTAATTTTCTCTCTCTGTTGCAGCAGGATAAACAAGGGCGGGGAGCCCCCAACGGCCACGATGGAGCAGGAGAAGCGAATAAGGCGGGAAATCGCCAACAGTAACGAAAGGAGACGTATGCAGAGCATCAATAACGGGTTTCAGTCTCTGAGGAACCTTTTGCCACATCATGAGGGAGAAAAATTGAGCAAGGTAAGTGATTGCATGATCATTACTTTTCCCCCAGAACGATTAGCCCTTAAGGGAATGACGATTTAAAAAGGCAAAAAGGTTTTTTCCATTGAGAAATGGGGGTTTGTATCCGTTTTGGGAATTGGAGATATTTTTGAAGGCGCGATTGGCCGGAGAAACGACCGTTTTTGTTGACGTTCTTATAATCCCCTGCTGAATTTAAAGATCGTGAAAGGGTAGATTCCGAAAAATGTTTAAAAATAGAATTTCGTTAAAAGTTTTACGCGATAAGTTCATTTTCATTACTACTAGAAGATGTACCGAAGAAACTATTAACCTTTTAAACTCTACATAAAGGTTTAACAACATTAAAAAACCAACTTCGCTAATGACACGTTTTTGATGTTATAAAGTCATATATTGTATAAAATAATAAAACAAAAAGAATGTTAATGAAGCGCAGTCTAGAAAATCTATATTATAGTTGCAGTAAAAAATATAGTAGAACGCTCAAATTTGTAGATTTTGACAACTCTGCTTTAAGATATAGTGCAGCGGCTTTATGAATTTATATTTCATCTTCCAAGGACCCTTCCTCTTACCGCATGCTTTCATTGATAAATGATGTACAATCTTCTTCTTCTTTTGGTTTCTATCCTCTGTGGATGTTGAAAATCACATTGGTCCATACAACTTTGTTGACAGCTGCTCTAAATAGATGTATGGTAATCATTCCTGTCCACTGTCTGATGTTCTTCAACCACGATGTCCTTCTGCGCCCTTGAGATCTTTTGCCTTCTATTTGGCCTTGTAAAATTAGTTAATACTTCTCATCTTTCTGATTTTCACGATATCCATAATTTCCAGATAAGTCTATAAAGCATGCGTAGACTTAGCAATTTAAGTCTCGAGCTTTTTGTATCAATAGTTGTATGGAAAATAGGGCCTCTCGCGTTCCTAGTCCACTTCTCAACCTCAACACTGCTAATGTTTTCTTCTAGTTTTATATATATATATATATATATATATATATATATATATATATATATATATATCTATATATATATATATATACGAGAATTAATAACAGAATGAAGGATTTTGAGTGCATGGCTCATTAAGCTTATAATTCTGTAATCAGAGCATCTGGTGGCATTTGCCTTTTTGGGGAGAGGGATGAAGGTGGAAACTAGCCAATCTGTAGGAAATCTTGCAGTTTCATAGATTTTGTTCAGTAGGCTCGTTAGGAGTTTGAGTTGGTTTCAGCTTGTATGTTATCAGGTCCAGGTGCTTTGTTGGTTTTTAGTCTTTTTATTGCATATGTTACTTCACTGAACGTTATTTGTGGTCCTGAACATCCAGAAACACTGACTTCTGTCTCTTGCTCTTCTTTCAATAATTCTTCCATGTATTGCCTCCATCTCTCAAGTATTCTCTTTTCGTAGAGCAGATTATGACTTCGTGATCCGTTTCCTCCCATTACGATCTTTTTATGTAGGTTAAAAGTGTCATGCTTCTGTTCTAGGGATTCTTTTTGTGTGCATTGATCTTGTAGCCCTGATTCTTTTGCTTCTTTAATCTTTTTCTTAATGATTTTGTTTATTTCTTTGTACCTTTCCTCATTCTTATTTCTGTGTTTTCTTCCATCCAATGTTCTTCCATTAGCTCTAATATTTCTTGTCTCATCCGCGGTTGATATTGTTTTCTGGTTTAAGTTTATTATCTACCACTGAATTACAGGTATTTTTGATTTTATTCCACATATCATCCCCACTTATGTTTTCTTGATTAATATCTGAAATTACCATGCTGTTTATTTTCTTGTTGATCTCCTCTTTGACTTAGTCTCTTGTGGTTTTATCTTTCACCTTCTGGATATCCGGACGTTTTTGTCCTTTTCTTATATAGACTTTTTTCATGTGGAGTTTGAAACATCCTAGTGAAAGATTATGGTCTGATGGAACATCTGTTTTTGCGGATTTTACGGAATTCTGAAATCTTTTGCTGATGATGATGTAGTCAGACTAGACTGGTTTCTAATCATTTTTTATTTTGGTAGTCAGCTGGAGATTTACAAGTGTAGAGTCTTCCAAGTGGTAATTCTTCGATGTAGAATAGCTTTTATAACTACTCTTGTAATTGTTAGCAATATTGACACTAAACGAACTTTTTAAAAACGAAAGTTAAATTTAAAATTAACGTAAGTGTATAGTTCAAAATATTTAAAATTCACCAAAAAAATGCAAGCATGTCCGCGCTCTTTTTTAATTCTCTTCGCTTTTTCCATAACTGCTTGCCGTTTATTTATTGTTTTAAATTTAAAGCTCATTTTCGTTTTTCAATTTTGAAGAATTTTCAGCAGTCCAAGTTCCGACTGGTTGTTTCCAATTTCTTTCTTAATATTTCTATTGTAAACATAAGTGGACTAGCTGTTATGTCTTATCATAAACTTATGTATTATCATAAAATCTTCATCGATAGATCATACAAGACTTGTTAGTAATATTTAGCAACATAATAATTAGTTATACAAGTTTTCATGTCAGTTTTGCTATATATAAGCTTTCCACCAACATTAGACATACCTTTTATTTGGCATTGATATATCCATGGCTGACATATTATAACCTTCTCATAGCAACAGTAAGTTTTGCAGAAATTGCCTTACTATTCTGAAGGTTTGTATGTAGCACCCTTATTGGCGCCATTGAAATCTATTTCGTGCATATTTCTGCTCTTTACTATATTTTCATTTGTAGATTGAGTACTCTCTTTTCGTCCTTTATTGTCTTTTAGTTTTATCAAGAGCTATCAAGAACAATTCTAATTGGAGTCATTCTGAGTAATAAATAACTCAATTATCCAGTTTTATTGATCTGATTAACAAAGAGGATAATATTCTTTATTACAATTATCATTAACCTGTGTCTAATTATATTTAAGACAATTTTGGAATTTTCTTAAAAACTGCTAAGGTTTCGTTATTATATTACCGATTGAAACAATCAACGATCAATTATCAGTGAACCATAACTAAATTTTCCCTATATTGCAACGGCTTAGCGCAGCTATTGAGAATTTTCGCAAAACACCAACAACTCAACTTCTAAATAACGATTATATTATTAAATACATGATTCGTGATCTATACAGGCGCCAATAAATGACCGCTTCGCCATATTAGAAAAGAATAAAATTATTGCGGTGAGATCTAGGTCATACCAACATTACCAGCCAAGATTGAATGCGTCACAAAGCATTTTTTCGCATGAATCAGCTGTAGAATTGCGAAATGGAATGCAGGCTGCGGTGTTGCCAGCAGTGCAGAATCGTCAAATGTATTTATAAAGGACTTTAATTCAGAAGGTCACACAAATTAGACTCTTCATTCATAAAAACTTAGTTTAATAGTGCGATTTTATATTTATAGCCATTTGTGGAAGCCATTAGTATGTCTCTCATAGACTAAGGGCTGAGTGGTAAATTGTTATTGAAAGTTTTAATACAAGCCGACCTATCTAGCAAAGTAGAGCTGAGGTATTTCATCTTCTTCTTCTTCAAGTGCCATCTTCGTTCCGAAGGTTGGCGATCATCAGGGCTATACGTATTTTCGAAACTGCTGACCGAAACAATTCGTTGTTGCTACAACTATACCATTCCCGTAGATTCTTTAGCCAGGAGTTTCGTCTTCTTCCTATGGACCTTTTTCCTGCTATTTTCCCTTGCATAATTATTCGAAGCAGTTCATATCTTTCGCCTCTTGTAATGTGGCCCAAGTATTGCAGTTTTCGTTTTTTGATTGTAAATATGACTTCCTTTTCTTTGTTCATTCTTCTCAAGACCTCGACATTTGTGACTCTCTCGGTCCATGATATTCTCAGGATTCTGCGATACATCCACAGTTCAAATGCCTCTAATTTTTTGGTATCAATCTTTTTTAACGTCCATGACTCCATTCCGTAAAACAGCACAGAAAGTACGTAACATCTCATCAGGCGAAGTTTCATTTCAAGGCTCAAATCTCTTCCGCAGAACACTCTCTTCATTTTAGTGAATATGGATCTGGCTTTTTCTATTCTTATTTTGATTTCCGCTGAGCTATCGTTGTCTTCATTTATAAAAGTGCCTAAATATTTGTATTTGCTAACTCGATCGATAATTTCATTGTGTAAATATAAATTTTGGACATTTTGTGTTGATTTCGATATTACCATAAATTTCGTTTTCTTTATGTTCAAAGATAGTCCATATTCTTCGCTGCAGTCTGCTATCTTATTCACCAATGTCTGTAGCTCTTCAAGTGTTTCTGCGATCAGAACGGTGTCGTCGGCAAATCTCAGATTGTTTAATCTAACACCATTTATTTTAATACCTACGGATTGCTCAGAGAGTGTTCTATTCATTACGTCTTCGGAATAGAGATTAAACAGGGTTGGTGACAGTATACACCCTTGTCTCACACCTCGCTTTATTTCAATTTCTTCAGTGGTATTATTCTCTACTCTCACTACTGCTTTCTGATTGTAGTACATATTTGCTATTAGTCGGATGTCTCGTTTATCTAAATTCTTTTCTGTCAGGAGTCTGATTAGGTGATCATGCCGCACTTTATCAAAGGCCTTGTTGTAATCTATGAAACACATGAATACATCTTGATTTATGTCAAGACATCTTTGAGACATAACGTTCAGTGCAAACAACGCCTCTCTTGTTCCGAGTCCATTTCGGAATCCAAACTGGGTATTATTGATGTCCAGTTCCAGTTTTGTGTGTACTCTAGAGTGTATAATTTTCAGGAATATTTTCAGTACATGGCTCATCAGACTGATTGTACGGTAATCACTACATTGTTTGGCATTTATCTTTTTTGGTATAATAACAAAGGTGGATAAAAGCCATTCTTGTGGTATTTTTCCTGATGTATAAATGCTATTGAAAAGTTCAACTAAAATGCGAATCGAGTCTTTTTCTATTAGTTTAAGGATTTCCGTTGGTATTTCATCTGGACCTGGGGCTTTACC